CTACAAATCAGAGCTCCGAAATATACTAAAGAGAGAAAATGAACCAATCATAGAATACATTGGTAGAGTAAAAGATTTCCGTGAGGCACTCATGGATGAAGAAGGATATTGGGAAGAAGCTCCCGATGCAAAAAGGTGCGAGATTGACGAGCTCGTCCTCCATAGTTTCTGCACCAAACTATCAATGGAGTACTTTCCATATTTTTCGGCTCATCAATGTAGGAACCTTACAGACGCTTACGACAAAGCTATAGAATTACAGTCTGCAGTGCAGCATGAATGGAATAGAAGGAAGGCCGCAAAGACATGGTAGTTAAAGGATAACCGTGAACAGCCGGCCGACTTCTATTACCAAGAATCATGAAAATCAGATACAAAAGGGGCTAATACGGGCATAATACAGGCCAACGCTTCGTCCGAGGTCTGTACATACTGTAAGAAGATTAGACACGAGAAGTGTTATAAAAATAAGCGAGAAGTGTTTTAAAAATACGCGCGATCAACAAAAACGGGGCCAAGTACCAACACATAAAACGTACTTCTACCTCCCTCCACGACTACCACACATCCCTCCTGCCGTACGATAGACCCATCCCACCGCCACGCCAAACCCAAACTACCCGAAGAAATGCCGATACTGCAAGAACTTCGGACAAACGATCGATGAGTGTCGTAAGAAGAAATGGCAGGACCACCATGCGGAAAACGCGAATCACCCTCCGTCGAAAGATGCGACTTCGAGAACGAACGCATAAGCGCGTCCAATAATGGGGATAAAAGCGGACGAACCGTCTACATCCGCGAAGTCAAATTAAATCGCGATCCGAGAACTCCTTTCTTCGCTATAACTTCGAAGGACCTAAAAGAAGAAACAGAATTTTTAGTTGATACGGGATCAGAACATAACATATTAAAAATCTGTATGGCCGATGATTATTTAATGTGCAATGAGTCAGATAAAATCAAACTAAACGAAATTACGAGAGAAACAGTTACTACGTACGGCCCTTGCATTGACGACATTTACGGGTATCCTATGGAATTTCATATCGTACCTAACTCTTTTCCTATCCTACATGGCGACATAATCGGATCCGACTTCTTCAGAGATGCTGCAAAAATAAATTTTATTGAAGAACACGTAGAAATGACTATGTCTTTCGTCAAACCGAGGGAGATAACTATTCCGGCGTGAACAAGGAATGTAGTCAAAATACGCACTTCAAGCAAGGAAAATAAAACGGGCTATATGCCCTCATTAGATCTTGGAGAAGGAATTTTTGACGGTGAGGCCGTAGTAACTGGCAATAACGAAGAGGCTTTCATGAGAATCTTCAATACGAACGAGGAGGACGTTTACTTAATTATACCAACGGTCGAACTCCAGGAACTCGAAACGGCTGATACGTGCGTCTTATCAACCCTAGGGCCTAAGACGAGTTGTCTCAAATTCTATCAAACAGTCTCAGTAGAGATAACAAAAATTTAAAGAGATCTTATCTTCCTCTCGAAATTAATTCTATGAACGAGGCTAGTGAATCCGATACGCGGGCCTTATCTTCCCTAGGGCGAGATAACATCCGGATGCCTCGCGATTACAATCAAGACAATGGAGGTTGCGCAATCAACGAAGCCCGCTACAAGTCCTTCCCATGTTTCTCTCCATTTCACTCGTCCCTGTAGGACGGTTTCAGGTAACACCAATGAACGTTACACGAAAGCTCTCCAGAGCATAATCCTAGAATCACTAAACGTAGAAGAAATCAGATCTTGTTGAGCATTCGAAGGAGACGGACGTGCGGATCGGTGCTCTTGTGAGAGAAAAAAGACAATACAAGCCCCCACGGGGAGGACGCAATATAAAAGAAATAACGTCAGCTACCGCAAGACGAGTGCTTCCCATTACCACTAGTGATTCAGTGTTGTATTATTGCAAAGCATATAATAAAATTATAATGAGTACGTGAATTAGACTCATTAGACGCCCCTTCACAGATCCAAAAAAAAAAAAGCCATAGAGTCAAGCCAAAAAAGAAACTAGAGAAAAGTGCTTCGTTTGACGAAGTTAATCAAATACTGAAAAGAAATGTCAAGAGCTTCGACAAAGATTTCAACACCAGGAATTTTTAAAGGCTATTCGAAAACAACTATCGTATAAAACCAAACATTAATGCAGCTAGAAACAAAGAACATAGACTAGAAGCGAACAAAGAGATTGAAAGGTCCGAAGGGTTTCTCATACCAAAAAAAACGGTATCAGCGAAAAGCCCAGTCAGCAACAAAGGCTCATGCTACGAAACAGATAACAGATTCAAGGCGTAGAAAACAGATTCAAGATAACAGATACATGAGCGTAACACAGGAGGGGGAAACTGAACATGCCAATAGCGGCACAGCTAGATACAGTAGCCAGACAATCCAAACAATTCGAATGCCCCCAATATATATATTAAAAACTAATCTTAGGGACATAATTATCTTGCTTAATAATAGCAATATCAAGAAGGATGCGTTCTTAGTAAAACAACTCGATATTGACATGATCAGACTTACAACCAAGGATAGCGAAACACACTTCCTGTTAAATTTAGACGACAGTAATCTATTCTAGCACTCTTTTAGAGCATGTTACAAAATATCGAAGGTTATGTGATCGTCTGAAGAAAGCAGGATTAAAATTGCAATCGGAGAAATATATTTTTCTAAGGAAAAAAGTGACCTACTTGGGGCATGTAATCAGTTCAGACGGTGTAAAACCGGGCCCCGGAAAAATAAGAAAGGTACAAGAATTCCCCGTACCTCGTTCAGCAAAGAACATAAAACAATTCTTAGGAGTAGCCGGATATTACAGAAGGCATATACCAAACTTCTCCGCTATCAGCAAACCACTCTCTAATCTTTTGAAGAAAGACATACCATTCTGGTACAGTCAAAAGGCGTCATTCAAAACATTAGTACAATTGTTATGTCAAGAAACACTATTCCAATACCCGGACTTTTTAAAATCATTCGTCGTTACAATAGACGTATCCAATTACGCTATCGGAGGAATATCCAGCCAAGGTGAAATAGGGAAGGCTCTGCCTATCGCATATACCTCTAAACCTACATATATACATATGTACCACTAGATTACTAAACCAAGCGGAACAGAACCACTCGACCATAGAGAAAGAATTATTAGCCATTATATACTCAGTGAACAATTTCAAACCTTATCTTTATAGTACTAGTTTCTCTTTAGTAACAGGGCACAGGACCTTAGTATGGCTGAATTCTGTGAGAAACCCTACATCGAGATTGATACGATGGTGATTAAAGCTAGCCGAATATGAATATAACATCGTATATAAGGCCGGAAAGAAAAACGTAAACGCGGACGCTTTATCTCGAAACCCTGTGTATCTCCATAAACAGATACTCCCGATAGTAGGAATAAGCTCAAGTGACAAAGAAATGTATATAGCTAGAAATAAACATGCAAGCACTCAAGAATCTAAAGAATCTCAAAATAAGAAAGTGTAGAAAATAATAGAAGAAACTGTTCAAGTCCCACCTGATGTATACGATAAGACAGACGAAACTAGTGACAAAACTCCAATCGAAAAAACTTACGCTCACATCGACAGCAATCTAATAGAGATAAACGACAAAATGATAATGTATAACGGGAATATTACCTTCTTTACTACGGCTAACGAAACTTCAGTAGATCTAGACGCAAAAGAGCTAGCAGATAACTATAAATTACCCATCATCAACGACGCATCCCTTGGAAAAAAAGATTATTAAGACAAATGAAAGGTATTTAATTGCGTTAGCTGTCAACGAAAGAATCGCACTTTCTATTCAACTAGGGACTCTGGACGAAGTCCTTCATTCTCTTCTTGACGCGGCCATCGAACTACAATTTAAAAGATAGCTATTCTCAACAGGAGATATACCCTGGACCTACATAAGGCGCAAAATTCGTTCGATCTTTTTAGGTAGAGGAACAAAGATCATTATATTAAGGCGTGAGATAGAGATACCTAAAGAAACTGAATTGAAATAATACATGACAATCATTCGACGCCTGTAGGCGGACATAAAAGTGTATCGAAAACTTACTCTAGAATCCAATAAAAATACAATTGGGCAAATTTAAAAAGAGATATTCTAATTATATATAGAAGTGCAGAAGTTGTCAAACGAAAAAGCTTGATAGGTTAAAAACTCATCAACCGATGACTATCAATGACACGCTCGGGAAGGCGTTCTATAAAATACATATGGATATCGTAGGCCCGATGCCCACCACGAAATCCGGACATAGCTATATCTTAACAATGCAAGATCTGCTCAGTAAATATTCTATCGCGATTCCCATCCAACAACCTTCATTGGAGGAAATCGCTGATGAATTTATTAAAAATATGCCGATTTGGCTCTGCAAAAGGTATCTTGACCGATCAAGGTATCAATTTCTTGTCGGAATTAATGAAAGCCATTGGTAAGAAATTCAAAATCCATCAATATCAGACGAGCGCATGTCACCCACAATCGAACGGCTCAATCGAACGATCACATCACGTCCTCGTAGAATTCCTTAAACATTTCATTACCGAAAACAGTGAATGGAAGGATTGGATTGAAGTGGCAATGTTTTCATATAATATAAGCGTACACGATGGAAAGATGTACAAACCTCACGAAGTAGTGTTTGGCCAATTAGCCAGAACACCGAACGAATCTACCTGTAATGATTTACAAAATGAAACATATGCGCATTACCTGGAAATCTTAAATGAACAGATTAATAGATCACAAGAAGCTGCGAGACAAAATTTAATTAACGCTAAAAAAAATCAAAAATATATTATGATAAAAAGCAGCGAGTTATCGATTTTAAAATAGGAAACCGAGTATACTTTTTGAAGGGAACATATAAAAGTAAACTCGATGACAAATATACCGTACCATTCGATGTAGTAGAAGTATTAAATAAGCACAATACGTACCGATCATGGCAATCGCATAGTACACGCCAGCAGACTCAAGGTCGATAAATCCACGTAACAGTCGCCATTATGGAAACCTGTAGTACTGATATACGGTTCCTTGAAGCACAGAATGGCGCAACGATCACACTCCCTTCCATGATGACGGTTAGTAAGATGGTCTTCCATTACAGTCGATAAATTAGAATATAAGAAACGCTAAAGGAGCTAACGGTATTAGTTGCCTTTCGACGCTTTGCAAGACGGAATAGCTTAGAAGTCGATATAAAAAAATCTTTACAATGGAAATCTTTATTTTACTACTATCCTTAGTAAAAGTAGCAGTAACACTAGTAGGATACGATTGCGCCACGCAATTTCTGAACATTACCTCATATTTCCTCTTACATAGAGCCGACTGTGAGATCCCGAATCTCCAGCCAATTAATAGCACAGGCTACGTACAGCTATCACAGACTGCCGATTACCACTCCGTAAAGGTCTTACAATGTCGTGTAGAAATAAATTGCACGATATTTCATTGCGGCATGCACTCACACGTGTCCATCGTTCACAATGGACGACGAAAATACCTATTCACACTGACCCATTTGTGCTAGCAGCTGCACTCTACCGGCACTCTCTCTCTCTAGGCCCGAACGTATTCACATTAGGCCTAAAGAAAAGCAGCATCAACACAAAAAGACTTGAGCGGCACCGTCACGACAGACGGTACTTGCAAAACCTCTCAATATAGCGACCTCTATGGAACATGGGACGAGGTAGTAGTACAAGCCATCGTTAGGCTCACTCTACAAGACTATATCGCCACTGTCAAGACAAAGGCCAATCAAATCCATCTAAAATCAGGAACCGCATGCGCATTGGACGGAGAAGCCTGCCACGACTTATACGAAAGCGAAAGTTACTGGTCGAACATTCCGACCGACAGCTGTGATTTGTATGAATATAACGTTCTTTATGAGGGTCCAGCAATGAAACTAACACCTGCCGAATCATCTCAAAGACCCATACTTTACACAGTGGCAACGAAAGACTATCATCAAAACAGAACACCCTTAGCTATTCTTCATAGAAACATCATCTGGAAGATCATTTAAAGAAAAGACTAAAACTTCCGTAGAAAACTTAGATATCTTTACGTATGTGAATTCGAAATTTATATATGTAGAAAGACATGTTAAGACACAACTAACCTCGTTATATGTCGACATTACGCATCAAAAATGGTCGCAACAAATTCAAAGGAATGCCCTTTCTTTAGCATCAACTGCACTCGACAAAATGGCTTATACCTTAATGAAGCAACCATGGCAGTTATCGCGGCAGAAGTAACGTATATTACAAAATGTATTTCTATGGAAGCAAAGGTCAGGCAGACTGAGGAATACTATAAAGAATTACCGATCGCTTATCAGAACGACTCATATTTCCTAGCATCTAAAACACGTATCATCCTAAAAGAAGTTTCCATAAAAGATGGCAACGAATTATTATCCAAAATATATAATCTACATGGAACCTGGTATAGAGTGACTCCGAACCTGATCGAATCAATACCTCGACCAGTAATTCAATCTCTAACGAAACCATAGTGAAGATACATCGACCTTGAACACCTTAGAACAAGCGGTATTTACTCAAACGAGGATCTAAATAAACTCAGGTCACACATCATGGAACCAGCTGAAAAACCCGCCATTATCAACACTCTTGCTGATTTAGTGGAAAACATATACCTTCAGACAAAAATTTCTTTATATAATCTAATGGATGAGGAATTATTAAGTAAGATGGCATCAAGTATGGCACAACGATTCTGGGGAGCCTTCGTAACCTTCGGATCAGCAAGCGCCGGAGTCTTAGCCATTTTCATGGATCTTCGATTAGTCAAGTTCATCGTCGACACACTCATCCATGGGTACGCATTACACAATATTTATGCGTGAAGCCTACATCTCCTAGGTGCCCTATGGAGTTCAATAACAAACCTCCACCTCCTTCTCGCCAAAAGAGTGGAACAAGAAGAACCACACATAGAAATGGCACCCGAAATTACTACCCTCCACGAGGAAAAGAGAGAACCCGCAACTGACGCACTCAATCGACCAAGCACATTAAACTCATACATAAAGAGAAATGTTAAAATATACGTATATCTACGCACATTTTTAAATAAGGGGGGAGTATTACATCCCACATTCCTCTCATACTTCGATTTAAATGCCTCTTATCTACCTATAAAAATCTTAATCTTCTGAAAATCTGTTGCTAATAATATTATTGTAAATCACTCATTAGGTATAAGAAGCGGTCGGAGACACATTACAAATTTATCAGTCTTTCTATTATACAAAATATTTTTACAATACATTATCTGTAGCGCACCGGACGGTTCCCACGATACGTGACGCACTAGATGGAAGCCATAAGATGTGCCACATGTAACGTACCAAACGACCATATTGTCGGTAGGTCGAGACAACGCCTCATCCCCATAGCAAAGCTCCCGCAGGTAGTCTCAATCCCACCACCGACAACGCTACGCTTTCACTACGCTAACGTTACATACGACGTCACTCGTTTGTTATATATATATAAATATATGTATATAGTTCACACAAATAACAAATGTATAGAATATGTTTTTCTAAAGGACTGTATAAGTTTTACGAGACTTATTTCTATAAGTTAGTAACACTATTATACAACATATTCGAACCCGACGTAAAGGGAGTCATTAATAATACAAACTAATTCTATAATAAAACGAACAGATATATATTAATGGGATGATACTTTTTCGATGATTATTCTCGGTTATTTTTGAAAGTCATTCTCGAAGGTTATTGCTGACGGTAATTGTAAAGTATTAATAAATTAATATTGTTAAGTTAAAATCAGTGTGTCTTAAATAACCCCGGCTGAGTTACCAACAACACCTTGCGACGTTCTAAATTATTTTCAGATTACATTAATTATTTTCATGAGTCTCAAAAACTTTCTGCCGCGCAGTCGACAAGTTCAAAGATAATAAAAACTATCCTTCCATAAGACGTGAATCCTTAACCTTAAGTTATTCTTTTACTATGTGGAACATATGAATCGCACGAGTTAATATAACCTATCCTCGAATCCTAGCTTTATTTATGCCGAGAACATTATGCGGTTGTAGAAAGTACCATTTACGTCGACTATTCGCGTCGTTTTACAATTCGGTTCGTTATCACAAAGACTTGGGAATTGTTTCACCGGAAACTACTGACCAACACGAGGCCGTACCTTACCGCCTCATACCCCTCATGTCGAGAAGATTTACTACCCAAGTTGACTATCGTCGTCCGACCCTCGAGTGAAGCTCACCCAAACAATTCCATATCATCTAATACCGATCGACATTAGGAAATCGTTTGAACGGAAGACAGCTCGTATTGATGTCCGTCCCATGCCAGGAACTACACGTAGCAGGTAACAGTCAAAAAGGACACAAATCTCACAAGAGTAGGAGCACCTCAGGTATATAACTTATATATCTTCTTTGGGGTCCGTATCACGTGGGACGTTACAGGACGCTGCTAATTAAATGTTGGTCAACGGATGCTATTTATTTTTCGTTTTTGTGTAGCATAATGTCTCGTAATCAATTTGAATATAGATACAAATTATTCAAACAATGTTTCATCAAAGGGTATATATAGTACGATAAAATACATCCAGAACGGGATATCAGAAAATTGCTGGAAAGTTGTTATTTTTGCTGATAAAAATAAATATTGTATTTTTGGTTCAGACAGATAAAGTATAGTGTGGCGAAAAATAAGTCAAGCTTTGAAACCAACAAATTTAAAATTTACTTTTAAAGATGTGAGTGATTCTGTGATTGTATGGGGATCTTTTTCAGGTGCTGAAGTTGATGAATCCTCAAACATATTTTAGAAAAGAACAAATATTTGGACCTTCAGAAGAAAAATTTTCGGTTAAGTGCAAATAAGATTAAACAAAAATATAGCACACTTAAAAATTTTCATAATATTCTTGAAATATAAATAGATACAGTGCCAGATAAAATGATAGGGCATTTGATGTATTTATATAATTCATATAACATAACAATATGTACATTTTACACACTCTATGTGTTAGATATCCACGAAATATCCACATAAAATTGCAAGATCATATCTTGTACATGAAAGAAATTAGAGAAAGAAGTGTAAACATCGGCTGACCTTACGTAAAATTTCGATTAGAATTTCCTGCATACACATAATTTATAGTTGCCTCGTCTTTAAACTTCATTTTTCTATAATATACGTACAATAAATTTTTCAATATTCACTTGTTTTTTTTATTATTTGTTTTCTTCAAAAAATGTACAATCTGTCTTATCTACCAGAATCGATCACTTTTGATAATTTTTTTGGTTTCTTATAACAATTAACAGATGTATAATACAGCAAATAGCATAAAAATAGGCTTCGTTGGTTATTTTATCATAAAATTTGTTTTTCTTGTTTGTGTACACACACGTGCATACAATATTTTTTTACGTGAAAAATTAAGCAATAAATAATACATTATAGTAAAAGGAAACATTTCTTTTCCCGTTCACCTTTCCGCCAGGAAAAAATATCTTTTTTCTCTTTCTCTATGTTATCTTTCTTCTCTCAGTCCTCTCTCTCTCTCTCTCTCTCTCTGTCTCCCTCTATCTTACTCTCTGTCTTCCTCACTCTCTCTCACTGTATCCCTCTCTATTTGTCTCCCATTCTCTCATTCTCTCACTCTCTTTCTCTCTCTCTCTTTCTCTCTCTCTCTTTCTCTCTCTCTCTCTCTCTCTCTCTCTTTCTCTCTCTCTCTCGTAGCATATATAGTGCTCCAAGGAAGCGGCTTTTCGACAATTACCGAAGCAAAACAATGGTTAAAGAAACACGAGAGAATAGGATACGTTATATTCGTTAGGGTCGACAAAAAGAACAAGAAAGAGATAGAAAAAAAAAGAAAAAATAGAGGATAGATATCCCCCATGATTTTTTCTAATATTTGCCGGAGTTTCTTCCCGCATTGTAAACCAGAAAGGTTTTTTTATGTTATATCGGTGCCAAGATGACAGCGTTCAAAAAAAAAAAAGAAGGAAAAAGTAAAAAGAAAAAATAAAAAAAAAATGAAATAAAAAGTTAAATAGTAGATGCGAAACTGATCTCACGTTATGAGAAAATAAAAAATTACCACTGGAAGATTACCAAGTCGCTTCTCTAAAGCAACGAGTTTTCCTGACTCCATAGAAAACAAAAAATTGTTCTTGGATTAGATTCATGTTTGGAGGAAAAAATTTCCGTCCACCTAAAATTTATTTTCCCTCGCGATGAGATTACGATATAATTTCTATCTTTTTCTTTCTATTTCTTTTTTTGTTTGTTTGCTTGTTTATTTGTAGGTTTTTTCTTTATATTTTTCATTTATATTTTTTTTTAATATAATTTCCGACGCCCGAATATCTGAACAGAAATTTATTAGCAATCGCACTTAGCTGATTAATTTTTTTGCTCAAATGATTGAAAAACAAAAGAAAATATATAAAAATTAATAAGATTATTGATAATAAATGATATTGGTGATCATTATCGAAGATCTCTAAGTATAAATCTTCTTCCTATTTCTTTTTTCTCATTTTTTCTTTTTCTTTTTAAATTATTAATTATCATAAAACTAACAAGTTATTTACGGAATAAATTAAGTTAATGACCATTTATCGAAGATTTAGGGAACTTGAGACAATTTACTAAACATTATAAAGATAATAAGCGATAGAGAGTAAATTATATACGATCATAGGTACAATTATAAGACGTCTCATTTTCGGAATTACAAAAACGTAGTTTCGCTGTTTGTACTGCGATGTCACTACAAATTCAGATCATACAAAGAAAGAGAGGCCTGTACAGGCAACGCCACGTCTTTTTCAATCATAACATTCCTTGTCCTCAATAGTAGCACAATGTCGAGTATGTAAGAAAAAAAAAAGAAGAAAAACAAAGAAACGAAAAAGTGTAGTATTTGAATTAAATAATGTATTAATTAACGAGAAGGATGGCAAAGAGTAAGAGGAAGAGAAGGAAGAATTTGGAAGTAGAAGTTATTAAGACTTTGAGTGAGGACCCTCAGGCAGATAACTCTTTGGTGTGGGCTTTATACTTTATACCAACTAGCCACACATTGGTTCAGCTGGATTAGTGAAAGTTCAAACAAAGTGGTTAAGAGTGAGTTGTTGATAAAATATTCACGCTTAAGCAATTGTCAATTAGAAATGTAATAGTAGTCTTAACACAGAGATCGAAACTACTATGTAACACTACTATGCTATTACTGGCCACACCTTCCAAGGAACAGTAGTCATCGATAGTGGGAATCTCCAAATTAATTCCCAAGAGTTAGTTAACCGAGACCAGGTACCAAAACAATCTTACCATTCTCCTCAACGCCAATCGAAGTCGGCTCGTCCGAGAACGGATCACCGATATTAACAAAAAAAGGATCATTGAAAGCAGGAAAACGTAGATTATTTATTGATGAATGAAGAAAGATCACCGATAATAGTTTTATTTTAAATTATATACAAGGTTATAAAACTAATTTTAAGTAGCCTGTTATTCAGTTAAAAGAGACAGTAAATTTTATAAATTCGGCTCAGCAGTTAAGGGATTGCAACGAAGCTGTAGATATATTGTTCAAATTTGGGGCTATTTAACCATATCATAACAAAGAAAGCCAATTTATTTCCTTTTGTTCTTTAATTTAGACAAATCAAATGGTATAAAGAGATTTATACTAAATTTTAAAAAATTCAAATTGTTTTATTAATACGGTGCACTTTAAGTTTGAGAATATTAAACTAATATCCAGATTAATTGCTTACGGAGATTACATGGCTAATTTGGATCTAGAAGACGCGTATTTTTTAATTGCTATCCATAGCGGAAATAGGAAATTTTTGAGGTTACAATCGCAGCTTTATGAATTTTGTTGTCTACCATTTAGTTTGATTATAGCACCGCATATTTTCACAAAGATTTTAAAACCTGCTTTAAATTTCTTCCAGTATATCTTTCCAGTTTTACATCATGTGAAGAATAATATATCAGAGACAATTAAATTGCTACACTCTCTTGGTTTTATTATAAATCAGAGAAAGAGTATATTAATTCTAAGTGGGAAATGAAAATTCTTAGGATTCTGCATAAGCTCAGAAAGACTGACACTAGAGTTATTTGAAGTAAAGCACGTTAAGATTTTAAAATTAATTAGAGAATTAAACAGAAGAAGAAAATGTAAAGTTCAAGAATTAGCTAAGTTTATTGGAAATTTAGTAGCAGCCTGCCCAATGATCAAATATGGATGGCTTTATATAAAGCGGTTTGAAAAAGAGAAATATTTAGCTCTGTTAGTTACTAATGGCTATTATGAGATATAGATGATTATATAAAAAAACGATTTACTCAAACGCTTCATTAACAAAGAAATATATGAATTTTTGCATCATATATTTCATCTAAGATGAACGTCGAAGCAGATAAGGAATCAAGGTTAGACAATATCGATACTGAATGCGAACTCGCGGGTTATGCCTCCACAAACATTGTTCAAGCTTTCATAACTCTAGATATTGATTTATTTGCTACTAGAATCAATATTAAATGTAGAATATTTTATTCTTGATATAAAGATCCGAAAGGCTCCTATGTGGATACTTTTACATTAAGTTGGAATAATAAATTTTTTTATGCGTTCCCTTCTTTTACTTTAATACTGCGAGTTTTGCAGAAGATTATTGCAGAAAAGTCAGAGGGTATTATTATTATCCCATTCTGGAAGACTCAACTTTGGTTGCGTATCTTTGAGTCCTTGTTGATAGAGGAACCTATCGTATTGAAGCCTAATAAAGAGTTACTCGCAGAACACAATAATATCCATTGTTTCAGAAATTGTCCTAGCTTGCCGGGAGATTATCAGAACAACCTTCAGAAGGAAGAATCTTTTACTTTAAACTTCTGAAATAATATTATCATCCTTATCAGAGGGCACCTTAAACCAATACTTCAAACCAATAAACTCATGCTGGAGATTTTGCATAAAAAAAGAATCAGACTCATATGAAATCCCAGAATCTGGATTATTAGAATTTCTATTACTGAGGTTTGGGACAGGATCTTCCTACGGAACCTTAAATTCAATGCAAGTAGCTATATCTTTGATATCTAAGTTTATCGTCTAACGTATTAATCAACAGATTTTCTTCTGAAAAAGCATTCTCCCTCTCTCTCTCTCTCTTTCTCCCTCTTTCCCTCTCTCCCTACCCCCCTCTCTCTCTTACTCTCTTACGCATATTATCACATAGCTAGCTAGTACCCATCTTTCACAAAGGTAAATACATCCAAGTAACAGAAACTATGAGAGAAGGTGGAGAAGGAGATGGTGGTACAGATGTAGGTGAAGGAGGAAGAGGTGGTGAAAATGTATGTGGAGTAGGAGGAGGAAAGTTGAAAAGAGAAGGAGAGAGAGAAATAGAGAGAAAAGTATAATTCGAATACCAACTCAGATGACATATTCGATCCAGCCTCGCATCCGTATATTTTGCAAAACCAGGTAGACGACACGTTCAAAATTTCTCGAAACGAATCTTAGGACGAATACGTGTGACCAAATTTGGAACAAAAAATCTGATATCTTTGGTAATGAAAGAAAAAGACAGTACTAATTTAGATATCGAAATTATGAATCAGCCTTAGAATCATTTTTACCAGTACCGAGAGAGCTTGATCTAGGAACAATTAGTCAGAGTCTATCGAAATTAATGATGTGCCATGGGCATACATATAACAGAGTCTAGGAGAAATATTGTATATAAGAATTTGGTAAAGACTCCCGTAAGAATTTAATACGTGAAAATCACTCGTAAACTTTAGGAGGTCACAAGGGGATAACAAGAACTACAACAGAATGAGACAGAAATACTTGTGGGCATGTATAAAACATCAGATTCAAGTTTTCATGTAAAATCGCTTAGACTGCCAATTGAAGGAATTCGTTAGGGTCAACATTTGATAAAGTTGGGTTAGATGTAATGCGTCCTCTCTCTCAGACTTAGAAAGGAAATAAATATATCATTACCTATCATAAACACTACTTTTATTGACATAGCAAATGATAGCAAATTGAATATGTAAATTGGAAACACCACGCTCCATCTTATCGGATCAGGCCGCTAACTATTGAAATTCTTTGATAAAAGCGATAGCACGCAAATTCAAAATCAGACAGTATAGAAAATGGCGTTCTTTCCTCAATCTAATGGGTCTATCGAGTTGTCGCATCAAGTATTAGTAGAATATCTGAAACAATTTACTATCAGGGAAAAGGATTGGGACGAATGGCTAGATACTGAGATGCTCTTGTACAGCACATGAGAGAACACGCTTTACATCCAATGAACTTATATTCGGTAGAGTGATTTGGATGCCGACATCTGATCCGCCATTAGACGATGACATGATTAAACATAATTGGAAAATGTTCCAAGTATGTTTAATCTTAATTATTAACTAATAAGCTAAGATAATTAATAGGATAAATCGAACTCAAAAGATAACACAACAAAATGTTTTAAGGGCAAAAAAAATATCGAAAAAATATTATGACAGAAAAATAAATCTTAAAATATTAAAGGAAAAAGGTGACTCAACACTGATCATCTCAACCCCCAGAAACTCGACTAAGAGGCAATTCATTGGCTTACGTTGGCTTGACCTCATTACCACCCCTGTCCTGCACGGCCAATGTACTTGAACGATGGTATCTATTTGCCGTGTAAGAGAAAGAGAAAGACAAACAGAAAGAAAAAGAGAATGAAAGAGTTTGAGTGGGTAGAATATGAGGGAATGGTTGAATGAAAATATTCTTAATTACCAGGCGAGTAATATAGGCGAGAAAAAGAGATGTAAAAATTTAGGAAGCTTTATTTGCTGCATTCTTCGATCTTCCTTTTATTCTGTATGCAAAAAAAAACTAATTCGATTCATTATTTTTTTATTATTATTAATTTATTCGTGTACCGTGATGAATATTATATTTTATAAATATTTATATTATAAAACTATTATATATAAGCATGTTTTTTATAGAAAATAGAGCAAAAGAAACAAAAATAGGAATTATATATTTCTTTAAAAAAGAAAAAAGATTATTTTGATGGTGGATTGGTGTAATTACGCCTGAATTTTCCAACGCCATCTAACAATCTGTCCTGGAAATAGAAAACTGATAGAGAAATAATAGTGCTGTTCTTATTAGACGTATAAGGTTAAGTTATCTTAATTTTATAATCAATCTTCGTTTAAAAAATAGATTGATAGATACGTTTGATCCTATGGCTTGTTATAGTGATATACTTTCGTTATGTGTAACAATTATGTTAAGTTAATACCAATATGCAAGAAAATCATTTGCATAATCATATTTTCAATATATATAGATATATCATAAAATAATATTTTACTATAATGTCTTTATTACGAATTATTCGATATAACGAATTATTCGTTACTTTTCCGTTAACTGCAAGGTAATTATTCTTCTTTAAATCATTATAAGCTTTTAGCAAAAGAAATTGTACTTGATGTTACTATTTTTTTCCTTTTTTTTACAAGTCATCTTTGTATATTATTGCTAATATTGAACATTATTAAGGATAATAAATATTAAAATCTTAAAACTTTTTTTCAGAGAATTCCTTCTGAGTAATTCGTCCAAAGGAAAGAGCAATGTCGTCGTTCAATTCAAGAGAGACTTCTACGCTACAGTTAGTTCATCTATTAAACAAGAGTACAAAAAACAAAAGATTTTATCAAACATTTATAAAATTGGTTGAAGAACATTAGCAACAGGTACAATTAAACATTCAAAATAAACAAATGTCATGCAAAGCAAATAAACAAAATAATGTTTTAATAAGAGATATTGACCAACAACATTTTTCATGGAAAGACATTTTGAAATATCTATATTCACATATTTGATATTTATTGATTTTTTTGTCAGTAAGTATGAAAATATTGATAAAAACTAACACAATACAATTTTCTTCCTTCAACTGTTTATAAAAATGATGTAACAAAAAATACTCTGATCAAATTAAATTATAGATAGATATAAAATTTATTTATCGATCAAAAGAGATTAAATTTATTAGGTAACATAAATTTAATTAGTTGTGCGAGGACTCTGTATTGTGATACTAGATGCGATATTTTCTATCGCCTTTATGTAAATTCATCACTGTATATTGTATCAGTACATTCAATATATTTTTTATTTGTAGCCAATGATGGTCGGAGGAAAGACAAGAAAGAACTGTCAGGGAATATAGAATTAAAAAATTTGAAATTTAACTACCCAAGTTGATCGAATCACGTTATTTTGAAGAATTTTAATTTGGATATTTTTTCTTTATGATGTCGACGAGGATAGCATATCTATTGATAAATGGGTCATTAGATTTCTCCATTCTAGCTATATTAGAGGTATTGTATTAGCGCATATAAATTAAGAACCTGTACTTTTTGCGACTAGTACAATGAGGCATATTTATCATGGAAAACAAGATGCGGCGGACGAGAAGGTAAATAATGATATATGAAAAAAAAAAATAAATAATATATGAATACAAATTTAAATATTTTTTCAAAGTATTTCATTATATATTGTACATCATTTAATGTTACAGATCATGAAAGGGGCAAAAGAAGCTAATGCTCATGAATTCATTACAAAATTTCCAAGTAGTTATGAAACTTAAAGTGACGAGAGAGACGCAATATTATTTGGTGGAATAAAGCAACCATCGATTTTACTATTAGTCGAAGCAACGATATGTAAAAAGACTAAATATAATTAGTCACATATCTTATTGTGTATTCTGTATGAATTTTATCTTTTTTAAATTTAATGCATTGGATTTTGAAAGCAAAAAAATGGTTCACAGTGCGTTAGAAAATGTAACTAGAAATAGGTTAGTTATTGTTCATAGACTATTGTTCATACTATTAAACCTGCTTATGTTACTATTGTATTACAATATGTTATTCTAGAGATAGGTTGAAAAATGAATCGGTGTTCTTTCACTATCTGCGCATAGCTACTTTATTTTGCAATATTTTGTTCTTTCTTTTTCCTTTTTTTTTTCCTTCTTTACAACCTACAATTAAAAATGAACTATAAGACATTGACAATTGACAATTAATGTTTTTTTTCTACTAAAAATAATAACAATAATAATACAATGTAATAATAATAAATAATAATAATAATAATAATAATAATAATAATAATAATAATAATAATAATAATAATAATAATAATAAAAATGTGCATAAACATTATTTATATACATAGAAATATTATTTAATCAATTTTATATTATAACAGTAAAGCCAATTAGCTTCGACTTATCGTGAGTAAGAAACAATATGAAAACAAATGCATAACGATCATTAGATAGTAAGACAAGAAGAAACTATAACGAACAAAAACAAAAGAAATGTTTTTCACTTTTCATTAGGTATTGTTTCATTATTTGCATTCCGTTGTTCGCCACTGCGACAGCATCCATGAACAACTCTGTATTTTTATACATGTAGCAAGATATTTTGGTATATGCTTATTGTAATCAATCTCGAGAAATAATCCTGGAATAGCTGATAGCTCATAGTAAAAATGACTCGGAGTTGTTGGTATTAAAAATTGCTCAATGTGCAAAAGATTAGAGGTATCTATTGATGGGCGATTATGTGTCGAAATATTAAGAACACGATTTAAGTGTTCGTGCATAAAACCACACGTAAAATGACATTTTTACTTTCGTTATCATAAATTACCGTTATCATATGTCTTATGATGTATATAGAATAAATATATTCTTTTTCTGCTTCTTATTATTATATTATTATATTACATATTATTATTATTGTAATAGTAGTAATAATAATAATAATATGAAATTAACTTCTACAGTGGAATCCATAACAAAATAGGACTAGGAAAGAAATTTCGCAGATATGGAAACGAATTCGTATATTGATCTTTACTAAAAAAATAAATAATATGTATGTTCCGGATATGATTAGTAAATTAGTTTCAGTTATTACATATATTATTAACCATCGGTATTCTGTAAAAAAAAGCAGAATATATTATATAAAAAATAAAAAATGTATGTACATAAATATATAAAATCATTTTAATTATGCTTAAATAAAGTTTTCTTCGATAAATATGATAGTTTACAAAAATTGGAAATAATTTCACCAAGAAAAGTTTCTTTTTCATGTTACGCATAATTATCGGTAATAGTTCTAGTATCATGGATATCAGGAGTCATAAATAATTTAATAAATTAGTTCATATTATAAACATTGTAATGAACATGTGAAATAAATATCGATCAGTCAAACAGAACGATGCTTTTCGATATAAATATTCACACGCATTATGCAACTGATAAATCAAAGATAGATAGATAGTTATATACATGCATACATACATACATACATACATACATACATATATATATAAAATATATATTAATATAAATATCATATACATAGAAGTGTAAAATAATAAATGAGAAGATAGTGCTAAGAAGGGAGAAGTAAATACGTGACGTCGAGATGAGTCGTTCATAAATTTATAAACAACGCGAAGAATCAACTACGGCAAAATAATAGCGGAGCAGTGGATGTGCTTACGGTTTGTAGGAGGGTGTAAGAAAGAAAGAGATAGAGAGAGAGAGAGAAAGAGAGAGTTATAACGAATGAGTGAGAGGGAAGAAAGCATGTGGAACCGGCCAAAAGCAAATGTGTGCGTGTCGAAAGATAATTCCGACTCACTTGGATTACCCACGTGCTCGTATTTTATTTCTGCGTGTGTGCGCGTTTTTTTAACTTTTTTATATTTATTTATTTATCTTCTTTTGAAAATCTTAAATAACAATTAACGAACAAGTTCAGAGTTTCAATTTGAATTTTTCATAGTCTCTCATTGACGTATTTTCTAAACGGATAATGCTAACATGAGATTTGTCCATATCGCTCATCTCTGTCTTTCTCTCTCTCCCCCACTTCGCGCTCACTCTCTCTCTCTCTCTCTCTCTCTCTCTCTCTCTCTCTCTCTCTCGCTTTCTCTCTCTCTCTTCATCTCAAGTTCACAATATCGCGACAGTCTATTGCACATACAGTAAAACCAGTTACAGGAGCAGATTTATACTGATTCAAAGACATGACTAACAAAACGTTCCGACTCTTAATATATTTTCAAATGCAACATTTGCTCGTGGAACAGATGCGTTTACCACAGACGATCAGTTTACATTTATAAAGAGGTTTTCATAAGGGAAACCTGTTGCCTGCTACAATTAATTCTCATTTTTATTTGTTCGCATTATAATGTATTCCCCTTCACATATATGCCTACATATGCACGTATATATACAATATATATGTAGTCTCAATCGTGCATCGGCAACAGAAACTACGAAAAATTTCCAAAACAGAATAAATGCAATAGTAAATCTTCATTAATTATATTTACAATGATATATCCCCTTCATATTATTAATGTTCTGAAATTTATAACTGTTTTTTTCGTTCAGTAATTCGTTATACATTTCGTTTAATAGTTTCATTTTAAATTTGTCGATTTTTCGTCCTTTCTGATATTATACTTTTATAAATTTAATAAATATTTATTAGTTAAAATGAAAAATATATAGGAATATATAAATATATATATATATATATAATATATCGGATTGATTATGGGAGGTGATAAACGAAAATATGTTTTTCTGTGAACAAAGTGATAAATCTTTATTTGTTAATTAACGCTGAGTTTTTGATTAGTCATACCTGTGAACAAAGAAACGACTAATTACGTTTATTATTCACACTGTTAAATTTTATTTCTATTATATAATGAATCTTCTTCTAGTTCTCGTGTTGCTTTTCTCTTCTATGTTATATTTCATACTGCCCGTTTCTATTCCTAATCTTAACGACTCCATTTGAAGGTCACAAAAGAAATTGTAAATAATAAAGGACAATAGAAGGGCGGACTATGAGACGCGCGGCAAATCTACCTGAAGAAAGTATACTTTCTTTACATATATATATATATATATATACACATATATATATATATATATACATATATATATATATACATATATATATACACATATATATATATATATACATATATATATATATACACACACACACACACACACACTGCACGAATACATAAAAGAGAGAATCTAATATAAAGTAAAGAACATGAATATATGCAGATCTTTTAAAATATATGTATAGGTATATAAAAATAATTAAATCTATATAGTATGTGTTAATATAGTAATTTAGTATAATATAAAAAATTATCGTAGTATATATATATTTCCATTCAAATATTTTTTTGAAAATATGTAAAATACACATAGTACTACATATTAATATATTCTAAATATATTTTATATGTAATAAAAAAAATGTACTAACAAAACATAATGCATACGAAAAAAAGAAAAGTACCTAAAAATAAGTATTAAAAGGAAATCTAAAAAAATAAGTATAGTTTTAACAGATACAATTCTTATGAATGATCAAGTTAATAACTTCCACAAACGGTAATAATAACCATCGCGATCTTGTAAACGAATCAGTAATAAATATAAAAGGGTAAAATCGCTCGTGATCTTAAACAAATCGACGCTCACATCTCACAGTTTTACGATATCTAATATCTCATTATAATTGATAAAAACAACACCCATCTCCCCTCCAGATCATCTATTCGATGCTTAAGGGAAGGAAGAAGGATCTTTCAAAATCGATAGAGGAAAAATCATTGATCTCTATGAATCAAATATATATATGTATATTTTTTTTTACGTATATATATATATATATATACATATACGTACACACATATGTATATAAGTGTCACAAATGTTCGTTGATTTTGATACGATCGTTTCGACCTGTTTCACAACAACATTGTGTTTATAGAGATTGATTAATCTGCACGCATCTTACTCTCACAATATCGGATCTTCCTCCTGGAAGATTCAATGTCAGCTGACAGCATCCTGTACCACTTACATTCCACTTAGCATTCTACAAAATGGTATGCGATATGACTCTCTCTCTCTCACTTTCCTTCTCTCTCTCTTTTTATTCGTTGGCTTTAAATTATTTCATCGCCGACAAATAAAATAATAAATTTTACATGAGGCGATACTCTTAATGGAAATTCCTCTCAACAACGTCATCGACCCTATTGCAATAAAACCATGTAACGTAATCGAAAACCTGATAAAAGAAGAAGAGAAAGAACAAGGAGAAGAAATAATTATTTTTCGATAATACCTATTCTAACGAATGATATTTTTAATTATTATCAAAAATAAAGAATGGAACAGCGTAATTGTATCGTGTAACATACTTGCATTCTACTAGGTGATTACAAAATTAAAGCGCATATTTGTACATGCAATACAACAATTGTACACTTAATTCCTAACAGATATGCTTGACATTTTTGACATGAAGAATCAGTGTAATATTAATCGTACACTTTAATTACAATATGCACATTTATATATACTTATATAATCTCCTCGATTTATTCGATATTAATTCCTCCTATCGACAAAATGGATTAGTTTATAAAGAACGCAAGATAAATTAATTCTTAGAAATGAATTCTGAGTAATCTATTTCGATAGAAAAACGAAAAAATCTTTAAGAAGTAGATTGTTGAAATAAATTTTCTACCCGTTGATATAAATAAATAACGAATATCATTTATATTATCTCGTGGAATTATCTCTTCGGCAACCCCCACCCCTAGAATATTAGCACAATCCCTTGAGCCACGCCCAATACTGACCATCCCAACCAACTCGACTAAGAGGCAGTTCATTGGTCCACATAAACTATATATATATATATATATAAGTAAATATATATATAATATATATATATATATATATATATATATATATGGGTTGGAAGGTTTATGCGTTAGGTAGTCGTACATTGGTTTATGTATAAGATAGGCTAAGGGATGTATATGAGAAATGCACAACATAGTGACAGTCTTGAATAGACTAAACGAGGAATAAGGATA